GTTTGTCCGAGTGCTCCGGGCCCATCAACGTGCAACTTCTGCGCTTGATTATGGGCACTACATTGTACGCCATCATTGCGACTGCTTGTACAATATATAAACAAAAATTTAATTCAGAATATAGAAGATTCTATTCAAGGTTTCAACATAATATTTTAGATTAAATTTAGTGACTGAAAAAAGAAGACTTAGTAATAGACTGCTTGCTTGCACATGCATTGGTAGTCGATATGAGATAATCTTGTGCCCACGGTGTTTTATACAAAGTCTCGCGAATGTCGGCTATCTGATTTCCGTGACGGGAAGTTATGGGATGGCTACTGAAGGGACTAGGAGTGTTATCGTGTTGTTGTTATGTTGTTTTCTGTCGTTTCGTGTGTGTGTGTGTACACGTTGTATTTTAAATATTATGTTCCTAGTGAGCGGGATACGTCGTAGTCGACCGACGTCGAATTTTCGTGCGCCGGTTCGCGTGCGTAGTGATCGGGATACATCCTAGTCGACCAATGCAGCTGGCGGAAGGTCAATATGTATTCCATGACGAGGATGAAAACCAATGCGCTCAACAGCGTCACGAACCCCAAAAATTGGACGCTCTAAGCGGGTCACTAATTCTGCGAGCAAAGGTAGAGGACGAAATCTTAAACTCCGAATGAATTCCCAGTTAGTCGTTGACAAATCTCTTGTATAAGACTCTGAGGACCTTGCCCGCACTGAGCCTGACAAATGTGGTGCATTGCACAGTTCCCACTCGCGGAGATGTGAATCTCGGCAATTGTGGTGCATCTTTATCCATCAACACGGCAGTTGAGCGTGAAATGAAATCAATGCGCAGGGGTAAAGGCGAGCGAACAATCACGATAAAGGCGTCAACGATTATTAACGGGCATCACCGCAATATATGAGATTGCAACTGGATTCGATCACCCATGACATACCGGTTGTCGACCCATTTTAGCAAAAAGGTTCGGGCATCGGACATTATATGAAATTCCAACGGCGGGTTCTCAGGGATGGCGGCGAGCGGAGGCGGAAACACAGGGGGGGGAAGGGGAGAGAGAGAGAGAGAGAGAGAGAGAGAGAGAGAGAGAGAGAGAGAGAGAGAGAGAGAGAGAGAGAGAGAGAGAGAGAGACTATTTGAACGCCGAGTCAATTTGCAGTTATCCGTCACCTTAAGGAAGTGGTTAAACACTCATTGGCTGTCTTCCCGGATTGCCATTTGCACTCGGACGGGAACGTTAATGCGAGGTTGATGTTAGGTCGTGATCTCTTTGGTGACTGACCACATTTAAGAAGTGGCAGACCACCTTCAAGAAGTGTCAAGCAGTCATTGGTGATTGCTGTGTATTTGTTTCCCGCACGTTATCAGTTGTCGGCGCGGATTGCCATTAGCACTCCTAGGGAATTTGCATGTCCGCAGCGTGTGAGGTCCTTCTGCGGGATGCATCCGAGACGGTAACGTATCCAGCGGGGGCCAACAGTACTACATGTATGCAACGTTGAGCACCCATCGGCACGTATACAAGCAATGGAAGTGATCACGAGCCTTCTGCATCGGTAAAAATGACCACCCTTACGAAGTGCCAAACATTCGGCGGTCAGAGGACTCTAGTGCTAAAAGCATTCTTAGGGGACCTTGCGGTCGTGTTCAGAACTTATTGGCGTAGCACTAGATGCTCACCAAACAGTTTTGGATGTCGATTGTATGGACGCATCATATGATGCTTACAAGCAAGCAGTGGCTGATTGCAGGACCTTCTACCCGGAGTGGATCTTTGAGAGCAGATTTGACGCAATCCACCGTTAGATCCATTCCTGCGAGGGGGACCTGCCATCCTACCGGTGTTTACTGTACTCTTCACGTGGGAATCGACAACGTGAGGAACCGACAATGAACACTCTTAGGGGACTTTGCGGCCGTGTTTGGAACTTATTGGCGTAGCACTAGATGCTCACCAAGCAGTTCTGGATATCGGTTATATCGACACATCATATGATGCCTTACAGACAAACTGTGGTCGGATCCCGGCCCCCATCCCCGATGTGGATCTATGAGAGCAGATTTGACGGAATCCCCTGTTAGATCCACATCGGAGAGGCGAACCGGTCATCCTGCCGCTGTTCAGTGTAGTCATCATGTGGGAGTCGACATCACAAGAACCCGACGATGTTCCAATTGGGACGTGCTCTTGCTTCGTGATGTGCAGGTGCTTACCGACCGTGCGTTCGATCCTGTCCTTGACGTGAAGCAAAGTGCGAGGGGATAGCTCAGGGTTCACACCAGAAGTGCGATTGAACTCGCACTTTGATGGAGAAGCAGGCGCGCACTCCATCCGCTCGATGATTTAATATGGACATTGGCTTGTCATGTGTATATTCCCGGACGAAAATGTCATCAAATCCTTGTGTGGAGAAGACACTTATCCATTCATACAAGTATCTCTTGTCATCGCAAACATCGAAATGGAAACATCTCAAGTTGCCCAGTGTTTTTCCAAAGGTGAAGTTGCACAACACACGAAGAGTTCCCAGAAATCATTCAATGCAAAAAATTCATTCAAATTGCAAATTGCAAAGTACACAGAGGCGTATTTGAAAGTAATTGAATGCAAAATATCATCAAATCCGAGATTGCAAAGTACACAGAGGCTTTCTAAAAATCACAAAGTACGTAGAGCCAATTTCACATTCGGCAAGACATGACTCAAATGACAATCTTTTTCGCGATTTATCCATTTTGGCAAATTTGTGGACATGAATGATTTAATCACAAATGTACGGCATCCCAAGTGCGAATATGTTCGCATTTCTCATACGGAAACAACAACCAGCATTCCGTGGAGAGCATGAGATCTATTCTGGGGATAACAAAATTGGTAATCATTTGGTGCACCCCTGAATCCGTAAAACAACTTCAAGCACACATACATTCTGACGACAATTGGTTTTCGAATGGAGAACAAGTTCGCAATTGTCATATGGAACCAACAGACAGCATTCATTCGAGACAAGCAGAGGGGGTGAACCGTAAAATGTGGCGGCACGCGCAGAACAGGGGCGAGCCAAAACATATGAAAGCTGGGCGGTCGGGGTGGGGCGGGGGAGGGGGGCTTAAACATTACAAAGTCTCGCGAGAGAAAGAGATAAACACGAAATGATTTGGCGACCAAACAGAAATCGTTGATATCTTTCACTAACATCTTGCTAAATGAACCAGAGTATCGAGCCACACGAGCATGAGTATCAACAATGTCGACAAAAGGACGAAGATGTCCCATGAGTAACACAGGAGCACAACATGGAAATGAACAAACGCAGCACGAACATAAGGAGAACAACCCGTAAACAAAAAAAGGGAGCACAAAGCTGGGATATTAACATCCGATAGGTAAGCGTCTACTTAAAAGATACTGCACTACGTGGCTGGGATATTTACATCGGCATCTAAGCTTGTACTTCACGTAAGCGTCGTCCACAACCCTCTAGCTGATGTTGCGCGGCAGCACCGCGCTGCCGAAAGTCCTACGACTAAAGATGACAGGTTCCTTGAAATGAAGAATCCTTAAAAAATTGCTACAGCACGAGGCTGGGATATTCACATCAACACACCTAAGCGTTTACTTGATCAAAACGTCCACCGCAATCCGGTACCTCATCAAAACAATAGCACAACTCGAACCGACCGACTGCTAGACCAAGTGGGAATAGATTCGCACTTCTGCTTATGACCTTTCGAATAAAAACTACGCGAATTTTAATAACAGGGCTATCATTCAGAGCCTTGGAGTATGTCCACCACAATCTTCAGCCTGATGTTTGGAATGTCGCTTTGGGCTATCGAAAATGGTGGCGGATAGCCACGTGCAAGAAATGAAGCGAAGGTGAGCATGAAAACACCGCAGCTCGACCCATCCGACTGTTGAGGGACACCATGAACAACCACCTTGGGTTCCTGGAGATCCAGTTTCGTTGTTTGACCATAATGACAAGTCGTTTCGTCACGAAGGTATTGCGTGAAGTTCGCAATCACATCGGAAGAAAACCGTCATCGTCTTGTAGGAGGGAGTCGTAGTACTCCAGCCGTTGTTCTCGGACACACAATAGGGTCCAATGCACTCGATTTTTATGGACAGGAATCAAGACTATCTCGTACGAGAAAATATCCACATCTTTTGTCAATCTCGCAACCCTATCATGTCGATAGCCGCAACCGACGACCTTGGTATAGAAAAAGGGACTGAAAATGTCAAGAGAGGGACACTCAGGCAACGCAGCGTTGGCAAGCAAGGCCAAGTACGACTCCACCACGTCATCGGAAAGCCATTCCCCCTGAACAAGAGTTTGAAGACTTTTTCTGCTCAACGGAACTGAACTGGCCCCTTTGCAAACCAAGGAAACCACCTCCTGGCCGTTGCTGAAATCTCCGCACACGTCCTTCAACATTCTCAAGTCCGCAGCGCTAAGCTCCTCAGTAGGCAAGCGAACGCGAAAACATGATGTAGCCCCAACTGCACAAACACCCACGAACAAGTGTGAGGAGTGACCAAAATCACCGGGGCGAAATGGCTAAGAACTATCTGCCCTTTTCCCATAAAAGTTGTATCCCCGACTGTTGAATGTGTCCTTGGCAATGTACTTAGGACACGAGTCTTTCAAGACACCCTGTTTGGCATCGTCATCAGACCCATCAGACAAAGCAGTAACGCTTTCAATAGACGCAGCCAAATGTTTCCACAAACCTTCAGAACCCTGACAGCTCTCTAGGAAAGGCGAGGCATGTGGACCCTTTTAAACAAACCTACACTTGACGACTTCTTCGGTAAAGCGGCCAATGACCTCCCTGAAAGACATTTCTCGCGCACGGCTTTTAAAGGCTTCATGGGCAGGGACATTGACAACCTCACACCTGTAAAACATGGAAAACAACCCACAACCCACAATTTTTTTTTTAACAAGCGGTAATAGGTACATGAGCCCATCACATCAATTTGGACGAACAAAGAGCTGGCTACTGACAGATATGCAAGTGCTCCTATTCACAAATCTTACCATGGTCGGGCGCCCTTTGAGGGAAATTGTCCTCCTGTCGCGCCACTGCGCCAACGTCCATGGAGGATTCGACGTTCTGCACTTCGGCCACGGTTGTGTCGCTAACCAGCTCGGTGGCAGCTGAGTCGCTAGGCAAGTCGATGACTTCATGAAGTACCATTTCCCGACCGGTACTGAGGACAGACGCTCGATCACCCTGTTCTTCATCGCAACAGGTGGACGGAGAATCATGATCTTTCCTCTCTGGATCCATCTTGACGCTGACGGCAACCTCACCGCCTTCCATGGAGGATTCGACGTTGTGCACCTCGGCCACGCCTGAGTCGCTAACAAGCTCGGTGAAAGCCGAGTCGTTACCCAACTTGATGGCTTTATGAACTACCATTTCCCGACCGGTACTGTGGACAGACGCTCGATCACCCTGTTCTTCAACGCAACGGGAAGGCGAAGAATCATCATCTTTCCGCTGTGGATCCATCCGGATGCCGACCATCACCTCACCGCCTTCCACCACGGGTTCTCCGCCTTTCTCATCGCCATGAACCCGAGCTTCCACCGCAGGTCCTTCTTCGCCTTCATCATCGCCAAGAACGGAAGCTTGCACGAACGTCTAGTGACCTCCCTTAACGACACCCTCTCGCGTCGTGGGCACAGTCGAACGACTGTGTTGAACCTCTTCGGACGTCCCGGTGACCAGCACTCCTGCGTCGAGCCCCTTCACGACTTCGCGAGCCGGCCAGTGTTGAGTATCCTCTTTCCGCTGCAGAGCACTTTCGTTGTTTGTGTCCAAGGATGCACCCTCCGAAGCATGAGGTTCCCACTCGCTACCCCCGGTTTCCAATACTTTGCGAGACTGCCAGCGTTGAGTTTCCTCTTCTCGCTGTACAGCACGCGTTCCCGAAGAGCGCTCCTCTTCCCCAGGAGTCGGTGCACTCTCGCTGTAAACGTCGAGTGGCACACCCTCCGAAGCATGACGTTCGTACTCGCCAAACCCGGTCTCCAACACTCCTGCAGGGGGTCCCTCCACCAAGACTCGAGACCGCCAGTCTCGATTTTCAACAAATGAGAACGGAGCTGAGCAGGGGAACCCTGTGCCCAACTGAAGATGCGGGGGGTAGGACGTCACATTTTCTTGGCCCCGCGGAACTGTAGCGTGAGGAGCACTTGTGGGGGACGGCCTCGAGGGCGACGTCAGCAACTCCGAATCTATTCGGAGTTTGTGGCGCTCGCCCGATCAGAGGGAACTGAAGGTCGCACCTTCGGTCCTTCGCAATGCAGGCGTCCCGCACTCCAGGCAAAACGATGACGTTGTTCCTATCAAGGAATGGTCTCGCCGCATAGGAGCTGCTGCCGTATGCTGCAGACGTCCGCCCTCTTCCACGAGCAAGGTGTTGAGCACAGGAGACCTCTGCTGTGCACGGCGGGATGGACTCTCCTCGGCATTGGGAAACAAAGTCCTCGCAGACAAGTGCGAATCTACTCGCATTTGATCAGACCTGAGGGTGGCCACGTCTCGCATGTCGGAATCTCGACTCCCTACGCAGTGGGGGTCAGTTTCCATATACTGGGGACTAGCGGACGTTCTACGCTTTCCGCCCGAACCCTTCCCACCCGACCCCTTCCCGCCCGACCCCTTCCCGCCCGACCCCTTTCCACTCGAGTCCTTTCCGCTTGACCCCTTTCCGCCGGACGCCTTTTCTCCCGACCCCTTTCCGCCCGAGACCTTTCCGCTTGACCCCTTTCCACCGGACGCCTTTTCTCCCGATGACGTTACGCCCGTCGCCTTTCCGGCAAATTGTGAGCCGTCTCCTCCGCCACCTCCGCTGTCTCCATCGTCTCCCCCTCCACCCCTTCCCGGACTCTGACCGCCCGACGGAGGTGGCGGCATGCGCCAGTCAATGCCACGAGACGGTGCCGTTTCGAGTGTGTAGAAAGGCGCTCGAAACTCCAACATTTTCTTGGCATACAACTCATTTAGCTTTTGTACTGCATACGCAGCGACGTCCCGATCGCTCCTTTCGGGGTTCATAAGACTCAAATGCTCGACCAGAGCATCTCTTGCCTTTCTTTTAAATTGTCCGGCTCCCAGTTTCTTCATTCCCTTCCACTTGCCATCGGCGTCCTTCACTGCCATGACCCACTTTCCAATTTCCACAGCAGGTTGGAATATCCTTGGGTGCCAGACGACGTTGTGTCCCCAGACATCCTCCGATGTGGACCGGTGATGTTTGCCGAAGAAGAAGAGTCTGTCATTCTGCCAGGTATCATGGTCCGTAGGGAGCCTGTCACAAGGTTCGTAATCATACTCTCACTCTTCCTCCCCGTCATCAGACGATTGGTCGTCGACTGGTTCGCGGCAAAACACACGCTTCAAGCCGGCAGGGGACGTGCTATATCTCCGAGGACCGCCTTCCCCTTCATCAACAACCTGTCGAACCACCCGAGGAAGTGGCATGGACTCGAAATCGAAGGTTTCCGAGGTCGCTCAGCTCCTCCATGTCTTCAGCGTCGAAAGGGTCCTCCTCGTCAAACTCTGCCTTGTAGTTTTCGAGGGTGAGCGTTTCAGCCACCACGAAGTAAACGTGCTCCAGCCTTCTCAGGAAATGCTAGACTGACTCCCTGGGTGCATCGTGGTACCCTTTCAGCACACCGAACACCAGGTTTCTCCGTCGACTGTATTCGAGGTCGGTCTGAGATGGCGGTCCGGGTTGGAAAAGGAAGTCCCAAACCTCTGTCCTTTTGTTCCCCGGCAATTTCCAATACATGTCACGTTTGGCATCCCATTTCCGTTCGCCGGTGGTCAGGACAAAAGAGCAATCATTGCGACGGTCTTCCACGCGTGTCTTCACGAACTCGACAAGGTAGTCGATCATCCTCGCCTCGTTCTCCAATGCGACGACGTTCCGACCGTTGCGCAGGAGCTCCCAAACGACAAATGCATGCGGCTTCCCAAAGAAAAAAACCGTTTGGCAAGCTTTGCAAAAGTTATCGAGAAGACGAAGTAGATGGGACGGGTTCCGCTCCGTTTCCCCGTAAGCAGGTCCAACAACACTTGTCATGCAGCCTTCCTCCCACATGCTACGAGGGAACCTCTCCTCCTCCGCCACGTCGAAACACGCCACAGCCTGTCCTGATGGGTCCGACGAACAGGCAGCTTTCGAGCGGGCCACCACAGCGTGTTTGGCCGGACTTGGACCATGAGCACAGGAAGCCTTTGTCGGGCTACTAGCCGGGTAGACTGCGACTGTGTTGTCTTCTAGGTTCTCGCCATTGAAAATCACGTACAGGCGGTCACAGTCCTCAACCAGCGTATTGCCTCCTCGGACAGTAACCTGCTTTTGTGCATGGCGCACCCACTTCCCTGTCCTGACATGATGAACGCTAAGCCTGGTCATGCCTTTCAAGAAACTGAGCTCCCGACGAGAGGGGAAAAAGACCACAAGTGCCCAGTGCGTCGGCGACAGAGTTTGGAGAACGCCTTGCAAGTTGGCGAAATCGTCTTCTCGCGAGTCTGTGAGGAGTGTGGGATCACACAAATCGAGGACGTACAGGTTGCACACGAAATGTCGCACAATCTCACGGATCTCAGTGAGACGATTGTGGGCTTGGGAAGGCGGGCAAACGAAAGGAATAAGGCTGATCACCCGGTTGAGGTTGTGCCATTTGATGTGCCTCACATCCCCGCTGATCCTGATCGTGTCTCAAACTTCTTCTTCCGTCCGTCGTAAGATGGAACAGACAGACTTTTCGAAAGATTTAGGGAACTTGTCATCCTCGTACAATCTCTTCGCGTCGTCGAGGGACTCCTTCTCGTGCGGAAGAGTACGTTTGCAAGTGTTCACGTACTCCACCGCGCCCTGGAAATGCTTTCGCAGTTCGACCCACACCTGTTTCGTGAGGCCCCGCGGGCCGAACTCCGCCAGAAGCTGCCCCTCGGTCTGGAAAAAAATGCTCCCGTAGCGCGTAACAGCTTCGTCCTCCTCCGTTTCAAGGAACAAGATGTAGTGAAACAAACGGAGCATCACACAATCCACTTTCCTCGTCACGACCATGTCTTTAACTCCAGGTTTGTATTGACGTTTCAGATGCCCGCCCGCCGATTGCACGAACACTCCCCTAAGTCCGAGAATGTCGTCTAGGATCGATAGTTTTTCGGCATCGGTCATGTCAGCGAGACACTGCCAACAGAAAATGTCCGGCCACCCCATCTTCGTTTCACCAGCCGTCCCTTTCGAGCCCATTTCCGGAATTGCTTCAAGACCCGGAGATTTGTCTAACATGTATTTGTCGGGCCTCGATAATGGCGTCTTCCCGTCGCCGCCCAACAACTTCCCCTCCGCCCATTTCTCGTAGAACTCCATGCCTTTGCGGAAAACGTCATCACCGGCCGTCACGAGTGGCATCCACTGCCTCAATGTATTGCAAACGGCAGCGACGTACTTCTTATCGGCGAGCGTCAAATCTTTTTTTGCCAACGACCAGTGAGAGTCGTTCGGACTCTTTCCCAAAATTAGCTTTTGGAATTTGAAAAACTTTTGTTTCTCGACCTCCTTGCCGGAAGGGTTGCCTTGAATGGCAACCGACCTCCCTTCTTTCTCCCATGCCTCCCGCATGTCCTCGAACGCGGCCTTCTGCGATCGCTGCTTAGACATCTTGTGTCTCGTGTTCTCGTTGAGACTGACCTGAACATACCCATGGAAATCTTCGTCGGAGAACCAAACAACTCTCACCGGCCACAAGTGCATCTTCCACAATTCGAACATTGACTCCTTCACAGCAGCCATGGTGTGTTGTCCGTTGACAGGGTAATAGTAGTACTTGTCCTTGTCCTCTGGCTTGAAGACATCTTTGTGTACCCTGTCAGCAATCTCCGGCCTATGCGTCACCGGGTTGTAGATGGGTGCCAGAACCAAAGGGTTTTTCATCCAGATCTTCCCCTTTTCCTTGAGGAACTTACTTAGCATCGCAGCCTTGATGTGATCCACATTTTCGTGATTGAGACTGTGGTGGTTGTAATATCTCTCCCAAGGCGGGATGTCGCAGACCTTCCTTGGGTCGATGAACAGTTGGACGGGGAACTCCTTCTCCACGATCTCACCGTCATCGTTCCGCTCGTATTCGAGCCAGAACGCTGCCGCTTGGTCGCACTGCTTACCGACAGCCTGTTCGCCACCGCCCGCCGCCTCAGCAGTCTTCCTCCTTCGAGGTTTGTTCTGGCCATCGCCTTCTTCAGCTGCCACTTTCCTTTTGGATTTCCCCGAAGGTTTTCTCGCGACCGCAGCGCCTGGATGAGCCGAATCTCCTCCACCTATGGCTTGTCCTTCGCGGATGGTCAAACCGCCGGGCCTCCTCGCTTTCTTACTTGCCATCGCACCCTCTTCCTTCGACGGCCTCTTTCCGACTCCATGTTCTTGTCCGCCACGCATCCCTGGAGCCCTCTTTCCCAAGGCACGTTCTCCGACGTCACCTCCATCCCCGCCCATAACCGGCTCCGATTGTTCTTTCATCCTATTCATGCGGCAGGTTTCCTCCGCCACCTCCTCTTGCATCACCCTCCGTCGCTCGCGCTTCTTCTCCGAAGAAGTCGGCTCCCCGCCAGAGCTTTTGCGTACAGCGCCCATCCCTTCAACCTCATTCCCTCCAACCTCTTGGCCCGATATGTCGGATTTTGTTCTCGTCTCATCTCGAAGCGAATACGTATCGCCTTGGCAGCGGACCTTGAGGATTTTCGGAGTACCGACCCGGTGAGTTCCCTCATCTGGAGAATGCAAGTCTGACGTGTTTCCAGGAGCATCCGGGCCGACCTGCGTGTGAACGCCGCGCCCCTCCCCCCGACCCCCAGCGTCGTGAATCGCACTCTCGTGCCCCACTGGCGTCTCATGAGCTTCTTGAGCCAAGCCTGATGACCCCTCATGGGGTGGCGGAAGCCGAAAAACATATTCTCACGGAAGAACCGGACGTTGTTTCGGCACCTTCAGCGCGAGATCGAGGTATTGCACTGGCAATGGAACACGCTTGCTGCCGCCATTGTAAAGCCCTTTGAAGTGAAGGCACAGCGTCATGTTGGAGTCGTACCCCGCGAAACTCTTGATGGCCACCATCACACCCTTAACACCTCTGCAATACATTCTGCACTCGTCGTACAAGCCGTTTGTCTGCAGCTTGAGAAAATCTCCACTAATCTTGTCGGATGAGAGGATGGCACCGAGAGGAATAACGTTGTCTGCTCCCTCCGCGTTTGAAACGCAAGTGGGTCGCATGAAAACAACTGGCCCAAAAAGGTCCCCCTTAACAACGAAGTCCAAAAACCATTGTGCCTCCCTTGTGTGGATATACTGAGGAGTAGATTGCTGAAGAGGTCGTCCCTTCCCGGGGCCAGTTGGCCCAGCGCTTGTGGATGTGTTCTTTGCGGACACCATTGTACTCCCACCCGTTGACTAATACGCCCAACCTCAGACCAAATCGGATGATCGGGAGCAAAGCAACAAGGTTTTCCTAACACTACAGAAGGAAATTGCGAACTAACTCGGACTTAACGAATGAGGACGAAAAGGACGTAAGAGATGGGTGTTTGAAATTCACACGAAGTCACAACAATTGGGTAGAGGAGAGGAAAGGCAGCAGTCCTCTGGCGGAGTGAGTTCGGAGGGAAGACAACAGTTCCACGGAAAGAGTGCGAACGAACTCGTTGTCCTAGAATCGAGGAAGAGGTGATTTATCTTCAGGAAAGTGCGAACTAACTCGGAGTTCCGGGATTGACCGCACGGGTACCGACAAGCGACGAATGAGATTGGTGTTTGAAATACAAACGAAGTCAAGACAATTTGGTAAAGTTGAGGAAATGCAACACTCTTCTGACACAGTGAGTTCGGAGGGAAGACAACAACTCTTCCGAAAGATTGTGACCCGACTCGCTGCCCTCGGAACGAGTAAGATGTGGTTTATCGACAAGTGGGAAGGGTATCAACAAGTGCGAACTAACTCGCAGTTCTGGAGACGATACAACAATTGCAACCCGCAGTACTGGAAACGTGAAAGTCACGTTTAACAAAAGGCTGCTACAAGTGCGAACTAACTCAGAGTTGTGGAAATGAAGACCTGAAAGACGCAGGACATGGGTGTCTACAAGTGCGAACTAACTCCCAGTTCCGTGGACGGAGGTTCACTACTCCTCCAACGGTGTTAGTCAAAAAGTGCGAACTCACTCGCACTTGTGGAAATAAAGAACTGCCTTTAATGAAATAGGTGTCTAACCTTGGGAGAACTGCGAAATAACTCGTGATTGTCACTACTCAAGCAGTGTAGGTCGCAAACTGCGAACTTACTCGCAATATATATATATATATATATATATATATATATATATATATATATATATATATATATATATATCAGGTCGGCGACCTTGCAAGGAACAGGTGAGCGAAAATAGGGAATTGATTCGGTGTTCAGTGTAGAAACTAGGTGTTGATTCGGGGTTCACCATGTGCGGTGACAAGTCACGAAGGGGATCGAGCAACTTTATATAAACGTTGTGATGGCTATGGCGAAAGGTAATCGAGCTGCGAAACGCAGATCGACTTTGGCAGACGGAGGTGGAGGGTGGAGAAAGGACATCACAACACATCCGCTGGCGAAACAACAAAATCGGGAATGGATTCGGGGTTCAACATGCGGCATCTGGGAATCTGTTTGGACATCGGACACAGAATAGGACAACTCAAGTTACAGAATCTTACGTTCGTCGTGCGTTCAGCGAACGACCAATGTCGGACGGATATGGATGTGCGACCACCGAACCGGCTATGGCGAATGGAGGGATATCGAGGTAGGAAGAGCGAACCGGCTATGGCGAATGAAGGGATATCGAGCTAGGAAGAGCGAACCGGCTATGGCGAATGGAAATCTAGCGACGAAGAGCGCGCTACGGAGAGTGAACCGAACACAATGCGGCAACTGCGGACGGAGCGAAGAGCGAACGGGCTATGGCGGAAGGAGATGGGGGCTGAAGACAAAATATCAGAACGCGCACGGAAGCGATAGCGCGACTTGACATGTGGAGCGACAACAAAAGGGATAACGCGAGGGCGGCAACGCCTTTTATACTTTCCTACAGCAGGCCTCGCGTCGAGATCAAGGTGGGGCCGTATCGATTCGCATATCGCACGCCTGGGCCCATAAAACGCCAGGGCCTATAAACGAGTAAGAGGTACCGGAAATTGTCAGTCGTCGATCAACAATTTTCAACGACGCAGATGAACGGAGCCACTGGCATGCCAGTGGCCTCAAAATCTCCGTCAACTCTGGCGTGCAATGATGTGACAGTTCCAGAAAACAACAACAGAAAAATTTCCCATTATTTGTTTTTGGCCCGGCCGGGCAAGTGACCCCGGGCCACTCAGGTAGCCTAGTGTGTGACCAAAAAAAAAAAATAAAAAAAAATTGATCGATTGATTGTTTTTTTATTGACTGATTGATTGATTGATTGTTTGATTGATTGTTTGATTGATTGGTTAATTGATTAATTGATTGATTGATCGATTGATTGGTTGGTGGGGGAGGGGTCCTCCCTCCCTTCCTCCCCCCC